ATTTGCTTTATTTCAACAAGTATTAAAACGATTTATCATTTATTATTGAAGAGCTAGGGTGGCTTAATATAAATTTACCGAGTACGACGTGTATACGTGCATTGTTTTACAAAACGAAAGCACACCACCTCATATGTGTACGTATAGATCAACATTCAATGTCAGTCTTCCCCTGTTAATTTCTAAATATAAATTTACCGAGTACGACGTGTATACGTGCATTGTTTTACAAAACGAAAGCACACAACCTCATATGTGTACGTATAGATCAACATTCAATGTCAGTCTTCCCCTGTTAATTTCTATTCCAAAATCTTTTAAGAGAATAAAACGTTAATTAACTTTTGTAAAAATCTATTAGACCTGGTCAGGAATTTCAGGAATATTGCTATTTAGACCATTTTTCTTTTGGTATACACTATTTTATTGTTACATAAGTGTTGTTATTTTACCCAAGAGTGATGCTCAGCCAGACAAACATATAGCAGGGAATTTTAGGTATAATGATATAATTAGGCCAGTATTATTGAGTATATTGGTATCGTCTGTTAAACCCTTGCCTATAGGCCTGATCTACAGGTTTTCCACAGAACTTTACAAGAGAGAAGTGTTATAAGGAACTTAAATTAATACTACGACACAATAATTTCAATTACAACATAGCTAACTATATATATACCTTTTAATAAATTCTCACGTTTTCACCTTTGATACAGTAATGCTGGGTATTGCCGACTATTGCTTTGCAATTATATCAATATATCAAAATTTCTGTCAACTTCTATTCCGTCTATTACAGATTTGAGATTTGGTTAGAAATTTACAGTGTATTACGAATAAGCACTTACCGAGCAGATAAATAATTATCTATCATCACAAAGCGACGTAAGCTTAGCAAATACCAGGTATTTGTATTCTGATAATGAACTGTACAGATCACCAAGCAGTAGGATAATTTGACGACGACCAAATTTTACTTTCTTCTCAAACATAAACTCTTAATTAGTATACTAGAAAATACTATTAACTATTAAATGGCCTTTAACTATTAAATGGCTTTATCGATAAACTTTGAGTTTTGCAATAAAATGATTTCAAATTCTCGCTTGCAAATAACTTTGCTTTATTTTTATTTAAAAAATTCAATAGTAATAAAAAAGGGAATCAATATTAAAGATACACTGAAATTATATGCTGCCTTGTTTAGTTGTTTCATATACGCAAAGGCCGTCGGGTTTTAAAGCCATTATAAAATTAATATTTAAAACAAACTTACTTTTGTTAACGTCGGCTCCCTTCTTTTAGCTGATTCTTTCGCCCTTTCTTTCTTGAAATTTACAAAATCTTGCAGAAATACGAGCAAAAATGAAGAATATTTGCAAGAAATTTATCAATCATCAACTCATCAAATCAAGAAATGTCAAATGTTTGCTATTTCGCTGTCGTCATGCAGCCGTTATAATGCAAACTTTAAATTGGACCAATCAGTGTCCGCTTTTAATGACAGTCCGCCATATTTTTGAGATCAGTGAGGATGACCACCCATCGTTGGTGACCGATGCCCGCGCTCATTGATGAACTTCAGACTTCCCTAATGCTTTCGTTTCCCCGGGTGTAAATAGCCGGGGGGAATTAGTACCCTCGCACGGCGCTTCGCGCCGCCGGCTCGGGGAAAATCACGAAATTCTGAAAAGATGTACGACGGATATGTTCTAGCGTTCATTATAATGCTTTAAATGAAGCACGACTAATTTCTAAAGCTCAGTGGGTAAATTTTGGGGTATGGGAGATTTCGATTCTTATTCAAATGCGCTCCTGCAGTTTCTTAGGGCTGAGGAATTTTTCTTTTTTAAAGTTTTTACTTTCCCTTTTGCTGAAAATCATTGATAATCTGTGGTGAAATACTATAGATGTTCATTGTTCAACTTATTCAAGACGTTTTTGGATGTTGAATTAAAGGACAATGGCACCGAAAATTTTTATTGGCTATTTCAATTCTACTTGACTACCTAACTATGAAAATATTATTATTTCGTTCTCAAACATTTTAGTCTACGAGTAAAATGCATGCAAACTTTGAGTTTCGCCGCCATCTTGGAAATATTTTTTGACAAATTATCTCGAAGGTCAATGAACTTTGTGACGTCATTGGATGGGTAGCACTAAAACTACAAGAGAAAATTCTATTGCGTGCGTGTTATGTTAGCTAAAAATATGTCGTTTTGAGCGCTATACTGGCCAACACTCTTCGCAATAATACAAGATAAGTCTGCACTATCAGATAAAAACATATCGAGCGACTGGGAAAGCAAGGAATGGCGCAATTTACAATACAGGTAATTGATCATAAAATATTGCGTTAGTATTTGTCTTGTTACACTCGAATTTCTGCGTTTATTTAACACGGAATAGGATATATACTATGAGAAATAGTGTTACAAAAAATTACATACTTGGTAAAACTTTCCTCCCTTTTTTTTCCGATTCAAATGCACTACGCGTGGCAATACTCGGTATTGTTTATAGTAATGAAATTGTGTTTACCCAGCCAATGACGTCAGATAATGTATTTGAGGCATAAATTAGCATACGCGCTTATTTTCAAAATGGCGGATAACTGTTGCACTTTCTATCAAATTTTCTCAATAACTAAACTCGACAAACCGGCCAAAATATAAAATTAAATATTCCGCAAGTATACCTAATAGATATAAGTAATAAAAATTTTGGGTGCCAATGTCCTTTAAGGCAAACGCAGGTCAGTCGTTCAAAAGTCGACATTGAAAGGTTTATATTTAGTTTTCAAAGCATGCAACATACTGATACAACAAACAACGGAATATCTGTACTTTGTCCTGTCTCGTTTACATTTTCTATTGTCTTATTCTATATCTGCATTCTGTCGATTTCTATATGTCAGCCGACCAGTAACTGATCTCAATACTAAGCTGGATAATGCATCTGCATAAATCAAGCCAATGGCGGTCCAATCTCGTACCCAGAGCATGCCCGTTCGCAAGTTAGGGACGGCCATGCTCTGCATGGTAAGAGATTGATAGCGGCCACAATGCAGTGACCATGCACCACAACTTCAATGGTGACATATTGGAACAGATTTGTGATCATAATTTATTGCTGGGAAAAATGTATATATTGTCAAGAAAAAAATGTTCATCATTGGCTTCTCCTAAGAGGAAGTTTTGTTAAGATTAAATCAACCAATATATTATTGAGTATATTGGCATTCTGGTAAACCTTCATGGCTGTAGGCCTGATACTGAGGTTTCCACAGAAGTTAAAAGAGAAGTTTCAATTACGACATAACTATGTGCCTTTCAATCTCGGTTACGACATAACTATATATGCTTTTTAATAGATTCTCAAGTTTTCACCTTTGATACGATAGTCCTGGGTATTTCATGCCGACTGTTGCTTTGATTATATCAATCAAAATTTCTGTCAATTTTATCCCGTCTATTACAGGCTTCGTTTAAATTTACGGAGTGTATGATGAGTAACTATAAGCACTTACCGAGCAGTTGAACAATTATCTATATCATATCACAAAGCGACGTAAGCCAGCGTATATATAATACCAGCTATATTTGTATTCTGATAATGAATTGTACAGATCACCAAGCAGTAGAATACGTTGGCGAAAATCAAACTATTTTCTTCTCAAACATAAACTTTTAATTATATATAAAGTCACCAAGTCAGTTTGAAAAGATGTGGGACAAGTATTCTCTAGCGTTTATTAATTATATAGCTTGAAATAGCACGACCAATTTCTAAAGCTCAGTGGGATAAATTTTTGGTGTATGAGCTAGAGATTTCGATTCTTATTCAAATGTGTTCCTGCAGTTTCTTATAGGGTTGACGAATTTTGTTTTTCTAAGGTTTTTACTTTCCCTTTTGCTGAAAATCATTGATAATCTGTGGCGAAATACTAGATGTTCATTGTTCAACTTATTCAAGGCGGTTTTTAGGTGTTGAATTAAGGCAAACGCAGGTCAGTCGTTCAAAAGTCGACATTGAAAGGTTTATATTTAATTCTCAAAGCATGCATGCAACATACAACAAGCAACATTCAGTACAGAAGACGGAATATCTGTACTTTGTCCTGTCCCGTTTATATTTTCTATTGTCTTATTCTATATCTGCATTCTGTTTGTCGATTTCTTTATGTCAGCCGACCAGTTAGTAACTGATTTCGAAACTAATCTGGATAATGAATCTGCATAAATCAAGCCAATGGCGGTCCAATCTCGTACCCAAAGCATGCCCGTTAGCATGCAGGTTAGGGACGGGCATGCCCTGCATGGTACGAGATTGATAGCGGCCTCAATGCAGTAACCACCACAACTTCAATGGTGACACATATTGGAATAGATTTGTGGTCATAATTTATTGCTGGGAAAGATGCATATATCGTCTAGACAAAAAAGTTCATCATTGGCTTCTCCTAAGAAGAAGTTTCGTTTTTTTCAGAAGTCACATATTGAAAAGACATTTGTTTAATATCATATCTTTAATATTCTATTAACCACTGGCGCAGCGGTCACCCTCAGAGCAAGCGTTTTTAGTCCAACTGATAGATCGTGGGCTTGATTCTCGCTGCTGCGAACACTTAGCTGATATATCTGAAAAGAGTCATGCAGTCAACGCTCCAGGTGTTTTGGTTTCATTCCAAAGGGAATGTTGACAATGCTGACAGGGTGGGTTGAAATAAGCCCCGAACTGACCCACTGTTCCTGCGCTCCGTGATGAAACAAGAGTCGTAAGGTGGCAGCCCCCTTAGCAGACCTTCGACTCGACCAAGTTGAGCTACATCCTTCCCAGATTGTGCACACATTGAGAAATAAGTTACAATTATAAATGGAGTTATTCATTACACTCATAACAGTTTACATCGTAAGCGGCACTGCCCGCCTCCGTCATTTTGTCTTTGCATATTTTATTTTATGGTGAACACATTCATGCAGTGACGGAATTTCACTCTTTCTGATAGTGGGGCAAAGCCACCTGAATTTCATACAAACCCCCCATTTAAACTCACATTTAGCTGTTTTTAACATTTTGTCGGGTCAAAGTTTTATGGCAAAGGTGGTAGTGAATACTGTTTATGGCAAAGGTAGTAGTGACCATTTCCACAATGAAGATCGAAATTAGCCTTTCTCACGCCGCCATTTTTGCATGGGTGGCTTTTCAGCCGAAGTCTGCGAGATAAGTCCACATAACAGCGACTTTTTATAATTTTTTGGACGAATGATGGTAAATTCCCTTGTAAATGGTTATGTTGCTGATCAAAAATTGTGTATCCTAACATATTTACAGGAATATTTAAAACGAACATCACCCGTTCGTGGTGACAACAAGCAGCTTCTTATTAGTTTTGTGAAACCTTACAAACCCATCTCAACGGAAACAATCTCGCACTGGATAAAAAACTTCATGACAACTGCTGGTGTTGATACTACACAATATAAGAGTCATAGTACTAGAGCAGCATCAACATCTCATTTAGCATCCCAACAATTTGACCTTAAAGATATCTTGAATGCAGCTGGATGGTCAAAAGAAGAGACTTTCAAACGTTTTTACCATTTCAAAGATAACAATGAATTTAACTTTGGTAGTGCTATTATGAATACACTATCCTAAACAATTGCATGGTCTATTTGTATAATCATTTTATTATGTGATATTTCCTTATACTGTACATTGTGTTTTCTCTTTCTTGCTGTTTATTCTTCGGATATAATATTGGTGCAATGCCAGCTCTAAATTCTCGTACAACTACGTAACGACTATAGCTAATGACGTAATAGAATTGGAAATTAAACGAGACTTACCTGTAAGTCGAAGTTTGATTGTAATTCTATAAGTCATTAGCGAGGAGTGGAGGAGTTGTAGGCCCACCCGTGAAATTACACCCAGGCCCGATTACCTCCTCCACTCCAGGCATTGTACCAATATTAATGCTCTAAATACTGGTTAACTCATGCGCGGTACTGTCTCTCCTACAACTCCTCCACTCCTCGCTAATGACTTATAGAATTACAATCAAACTTCGACTTACAGGTAAGTCTCGTTTAATTTCCAAATATTCAAAAAAGTGAGCGTGGGCATTTACGATCACATTCGCTTGAAAGTTTGCATGAAGCGTGACGAAGCATTCAGTTCGCTTTCGTCGTGAATAGATGAATTTTGTTGGCAAAAGAGCGTGGTATCTTATAATATAAGAAAAAGCGGTTTCGAGAACCAGAAAGTGTTGAGCACAGCATTGTACACAGTATTGTCGCTCGGCTGACAAGGTTGGGGATCCGAAAAACGATATATCAAATTGTGTGTGCGATAAGGCGCCATCTGGTGGAAAATGAAAGAGCCGAAGTGAATATATATTTTATAGACGGTAAACATTACTGGTAAGTTGCTGTATTATAGTGTTTAAAGCGCTGTTTATTATGATAGTTGGTAAAAAAGTTGGTTTTCCTATATTTATGTAGTTTTCAAACGTTTAGGAAAAGTGTTAGCTATAATGTGTAGTTAGAATAAATTTCTAATTACAATTTACTGTATTTAGAAATAATTCTAAACATAGCAATTAAATATATTTGCATAATCTTTTGTTTACGCCTCAATTTTCCTATCGTTCAAAGCCCTTCCCACTTGAAGTAATTAAAGACCTGGTCTAGACGGGGTATCCAGATAGATACACGTGATGTAAATTAAACCATGTCATTAGCCGAAATGCTATGAATATCTAATGATGTATGAGAAATAGAGAATAATACATGGGTGCGCGGAAATACCAGATTTATTTCGAGTGTTGAACATAAAGGACAGTCTTTGAAAAGCGATATTTTTTACAGAAAAGCGATAATTGAAAAGCGATAATTTTTGCATGTCAACAATGATTATAGCCTTCGAAGCAATACCATAAATTTCTGTTTAAAAAGACCTAAGACGAATTTTATGAAAAATAGTTTCTTATCGTGGATCATCATCATGGAATAAACTACCTACCGTATTTACTCGATTGAGCGCCGCCCCCGATTGAGCGCCGCCCCCGAATGAGCGGCGCACTGAACAGTGAAAAAACTTTCCGCCGTCAAAATGGGAACATTTAGTGACGAAAACCTTTTAAAACTTGTTTATTTTATTGTTAAAAGTTCTATTATTTATAATTCACAAATAAAAGATTTTTTAAAGAGCGTCGCCCCCGAATGAGCGCCGCATCTGAATCTCTCACAATTCACAATTTTATTAAATTTAAAGATAACAAATAAAATACATGCAGTACTACACGCAAAATAGCAAAGCTAATCGAGGCGTGTAGTTACAATATCAGAATTATATGCTCATTATATTTATTATTAATGTAACAATGTAAGGTGTTACATGAATAATAACTGATCTTAATAATAAAAGTATACTTTTGGCATAGAAATTATTTTCAATGCTTGACCATTTGTTGAACTATTGTGGGTACATCAACATAATCATCCTCAATTGCTCAAGTATTGTTAAAAGGGGTTTCTTCATTATTTTATTGAAATTCGTTCTTCCCAATTCACGCACATCAGTGGAAATATTATTCCATACTTTTGCTCCAACTCTTGCGAATGATGAATTTGTTTTTGTAAGTCTTGCATATTCAATATAATAATTCTTAGATACGCAATGCCTAGTGTTATGGTTGTGAATTTGTCTTGAGTGAATGAAGCAATTAGAAATTGAAGATGGGCAAGACTCGTTAGAAACATCGTGCATTAAATTGGAAACAGTTTTGATATAAAGCATATTTATACGAAGTATTTTTGATTCAATAAAAAGTGGAATAACATGTTCTCTGTATTTTTTGAAATAAATTAATCGTAATGCCCGTTTTTGTAAAATAAGTATCTTATTGACATACCTTTTTGATGCATGCCCCCATACAATTAAGCCATAAGTTATATATGGTGGTAATATTAAACAACGATATATATTATTGAAACAACGATATATATTACGAAAATTTAAAGAGCGCCGCGGCGCTCAAACGAGTAAATACGGTATGCAAATAAGGGATAATATATATATATATATATATATATATATATATATATATATATATATATATATATATATATATATATATATATATATATATATATATATACTGAAGGCTATTTAAAAAAAAAAAAAAAAATAGTCGATGAGTTGGCGTAAGGTAGAAGAGCGCTCAACACCGAACTGTCCAAGTACGTCTGGAAACTGAAGTCAGAAAAAAGTCAGTATAAAATAAAGTGGTCCATTATGAAGAAAGTCAAAGCATACAAACCAGGATCTAAACGGTGTAATTTATGCCTCGAGAAGAAACTACTTATTATGAAAGCGAAGAAAACTGAATGCCTGAACAATCGCTCTGACTTGTTTTCCAAATGTAGACATGTAACCAGATACCTGCTTATTGAAGTTGTAAAATGATAACCTATATTTGTTGTGAATATTGAATAATATCTGTCAGTTGCCTGATGATCGCGTAAAGCGTGAAACACAGAGTAGCGACGCAAACATTCAAACCTTGACTTTCGACCTCCCACAGCGCTCGTCAACTTTTCTAGGAGAAATATTGACAAAAATTTTGCTGCAGGGGCATCATCGGTTTCGTAGGGCAATTTTATGACACCCCCCCCCCAATCAAAAGGGGCTAGTTTCGCCCCTGTATATATGATTTAAAACAATTATTGCATGCTATTTTGTTATTACGATGTTAATTCGTTTTTAGTCTGTAGATAGTATACTTTTGTAAATAGATGCACGGCCCTATGAAAACCAGGAAACTGATAGGTTACCGTGTTTAAAAAAATTTAAATAAATATAAATAATCTCACATGTGAGATTATCACTTTTATCAGTGCTCGAAATCTTTATAAAGCACTATACTTCATGTAATAAAAACTATTCTTGCATGCACGGGTGAGGATAAAAAGAAATTTTAGAATTTTAAACTTAGAGCTAAATCTGGAATTAACACAATATCTTTATTAATTTTTTCCAAAACAAAGAGCTTTAATTTTCTGGTATGCCCTTCAAAAAATATACGACGCCACTTCGTATAGGTGAATTGCTATATAAACGAAAGACTAATAACAGGAAAGAACAATCGAAAACATTAAATTCAAAAACAGGCAATTCGTCTGTGATATTTACCGCTTTCTTAGATAATTATCAATTGCCTGCACATTGTCAATTGACCTTATGAAATATAATTGCATTGCTTATATTTTAAAAGGAACAACGGAGCAATTAAATATTAATGCAATTAAAATTTAATTTATTAAGAAAGTAAATAAATAATGTTTATAGAAAGCAGATTTTGTTTATTTATCAAATGTATTAATACGACTTTTAAGTCGTATTAATACATTTGATAAATAATCAAAATCTGAATGGCTCTTACCTGTAACTGGCTCTGTCCCTTGAAGCAGGAGAGTGTTCTCTTCCTTAACACCTGAATCTGCAGTTGATATAAAAATATTCGAATGAGATAGAAATATCGGACGTCGAGTAAGTTATTGTAATCATAGCCAGTAATCATAGCCTACTAACCATTGGAACGATTAATTGTCGTGATAGCCCGTATTCATTGTAATGATAGTCCACGAAAGACTTTTATTATGAATAACTAGAAAAACTAATTTTAAGAGACAAAAGGGACTGTTTTGCACTTAAGTATGAAATTATGTATGAAGCCGTCAAGAACTCCTATACTTGCGACGACGATGCATGCTTTTTGCCCAGAGGATTTTCCTGAATGTTTGTAATGTCCTCTCCGTAGGAGTCTGCGTATAAAAGGTAAAACTAACATTTTAAAACTGAAATCCCAACGAACGAAGTTTTATTTCTAAGTATAATCTTAAGCGGAAATCATGCTTACAAAATACACCATATGGAAATCTCTGAAAATGGCACTTGGAATAATTATAAAAGAGCACCTATTATATAAGGTGCACTCATCAGTAAAATGTCAAACGTTGCACTGATTCTAATGAAATACTTCAACGTATCTTATTATCACAGTTGCGCAATCATACTTTTAAGTACAGTATAAGAATTCAATGAAAATAATAACAATGAAGGTAACATTAATTTTACCTTTTCCTGGTAAGGACGATGCTTTCTGCACTGTAGAAGTTGTGTGCTCATGCGTAGTTTCAACGCTGAGAGAATCTGTAAGGGAAGAAATGTTGTCAAGCTGTAATTCGTGACCAAAAACAAAAGAAATTAATATTTTATTATTAGTGTATGTGAAACTAGAGGAAGACGTCGTACAGGACACTTTTATTTTAGAAATTTTATTCTAAAATATACTAGTACATTGAAATCAGAATTAAGATAATTTTAAAGTTTTAGTACTATGCATGTAAGGCAATGTTTGAGAAGTGAGCTCAAATACTCGACTCAAAGACGAGTAGGATTTGGACTTATTTTTCTGCTACACATTGTATTGTAGCTTCAATTTCGAAGTAATGGTTCAAATACGAGATTAAGGACTTTTGGTATATGGTGGCCATGTAAACACGAAGTGATAGCTTTACTTGTAGATATTGAAATATTTCGGTTGTTTCGGCAGTTTTTATTGAATTTTTTATTGAAATTTTTCAGCATAATCAGCAATATGATACCTTACTTCCCATCATCCCCCGCGCGCATAAATTGGAATTGCCTATTATCTTTTTTAAAATATATATAGTTTAGGTTAATTGTTCATATAGGGTTAACCTCTCAATTAATTTTTCTTCAATGTATAATTTTTCTTAGCATATACTTGTGGGTGGATAGTGCTTTTCGCGCAATCTGATTAGTTACTCAGTTTCGTACATTGGAGAAAATAGTGAAAATCGCACTATAGAATTATGTGATTGGTATATGCTAAAACAAATATTTACCTCAGTGTCGGCGAATATATAGTGTAAGGATATTCATCTCAACGCTTCGCATTTCGGTGAATGTCCTTGCACTATTTACCTCCACTTTGGCGAATAGTTGCTAATTATCTTGAGAAACGTATGGTGTATGGTATGATGTGATGTGATATGATATGGTATGGTATCGTATCGTATCGTATGATATGGTATGGTTGATATTACCAGGATTTTCAAGTCTGCGTCCATTAATAAGGCTCGCTTGTGGCTGGCCTTTTCAAAACGCACTCGGACTTGGAAATCCTGGTAAACTTTTTTGTCTCGTATTTGAACTATCTATTACTGCAAAATCAGTGAAGCTATATGCAACGTGTGGAAGAAAACTAAGTCCAACTTTAATCTCAAATTCAAAATACTGACCTCATATTATTTAAAATATCGAAAACTATATCATCAAAAACAAAGCAACGTGTTGTCTTTTAACAGGAAAAATATTATAATTATAATGATTACCCAGCTGATTCCACGAACGCTTTTTCTGGGCGAAATGCGAAACATTTCGCACAAAATGAGATCGTGCATGCGCAGAATAGATAAATTAATCTTCGCGAGAAAATATTTCGCTTTGGCAGTGAGTAGAAGTCAGTTCTACTCACTGCGAAAGCGAAAACAGTGCACAAATTTAATAGAATCACTCCTGTGCAGCCATCCATATTTCGCAGACACGATTTCGCACGAACAATTTCGCCGTCGTGAAATCAAGCCTTAAGACTGCCAAAAGTTTAATTAGTTCAATATTTCATAAGGAATTCGTGACAGTTTTGGGTGTTTATTTTGGTTTTTAATTTTTTTTCTAATATTTCTGGGGGTTTCCAACAAATCAGTTGTCATTCAAGGTTTTGAAAATTTGTCGTATTCAAAGAAACGTTGTCAGCTAATTGGGACACTGAAGACCAAACATAAAACTTCAATGTTTGTCAAAATCATTGTACAATTTTTAATTCGCTCAGGCAGTTTCTTTTAACTGTATATAGCCTTACTTTAACTGCCTTGAGTTGTTTTTTAAAACCCCACAGATGTTCTAGACAAAAACTAAAGCTTTCTGTTAACATGACCCGTTTTCCCCAACATGTTTCCCTGTGGCTGCCCTTTGGTGGCTCGTACGGTTAAACGAACTTGGGCTTTAGTTTTCGGATTAATACATGACCCTTAGCTCTCCTCTAACAATATCGTATTAAATTTTAAATATTTAAAAATTGATCTTCAACGGAATATATTTCTATTAATTTGCAGAAAATTTGAAAACTGCAACAAGTCAAGTACCAGATTGAACGTATTATTTTTAAAATAGCTAAAACCTTATCAATCTGACACTCGAATATCAGAAAATCATCACCAAATTTGCAACTTCGTGCCCATGGTCTTCTCTCTATATACAGGGGAGGAAAAACCCTGGTGGAAGCTGGTCATGTGATCTCCTAATGCAAATTTTTTGTTATGTGAAAAGTCATCTAGTGCATTCCCACCTCTCCCGGCCTAAATTTACATAAGAACGCTAATTGCAAATACGCTGGATTTTAGCATATCACGTGACCAGCCCCTCCCAGCGTCTTTCCTTACCGAGAAGGGAGATCCTGGGTACGAGCTGGTTGCTAAGTTTACCTGTAATTTTTGACAGTTTTTCAATTACATTTCTTGTGCAGTTCTCTAGATGTTTATATCCTCGTTCTTTGGCAATTTCCAAGGCTTTTTCATAGTATTCCATTGAGTTTTCAATCTGATTGTTCAATTTATAAGCCTCTCCTAACCCAAGGTACGCCTGTGTTTCCTGCAGTGTATATCCTTGTTCTTTTGCAATTTCCAACGCTTTTTCATAATATTGCAATGCGTTTCCAATCTGATTGTTCAATCTATAAGCATCTCCTAACCCAAGGTACGCCTGTGTTTCCTGCAGTTTATATCCTTGTTTTTTTGCAATTTTCAACGCCTTTTCATAATATTGCAATGCGTTTCCAATCTGATTGTTCAACCCATAAGCATCTCCTAACCCAAGATACGCGCTTGTTTCCTCTCGTTTATATTCTTGTTGTATTGCAATCTCCAAGGCTTTTTCATAATATTCCATTGCCTTTCGAATCTGATTGTTCAATCTATAGGCATCTCCTAACCCAAGATACGCGCGTATTTCCAGTTGTTTATATCCTCGTCCTTTGGCAATTTTCAAGGCTTTTTCATAATATTCCATTGCCTTTTGAATCTTATTGTCCAATTTATAAGCTTCTCCTAACTCAAGGTATGCGCGTGTTTTCTTCTGTTTATTTCCTCGTGCTTTGTCAATTTCCAAAGCTTTTTCAAAGTATTCCATTGCCTTTTGAATCTGATTGTCCAATATATAAGTTTCTCCTAACTCAAGGTACGCCCGTGTTTCCTCGTGTTCATATCCTCGTTTCTTGGCAATTTCCAAAGCTTTTTCATAGTATTCCATTCCCTTTTGAATCTGATTTATCGATTGATAAGCTTTTCCTAACTCAAGATACGCGCGTGTTTCCTCGTTTATATATCCTCGTTCTTTGGCAATTTCCAAGCCTCCTTTAAAGTATTCCATTGCGTTTTGAATATGGTTGTTCAATTTATAAAGTTCTTCTAACCCAAGGTATGCGCGTGTTTCCTCGTGTTTATATCCTCGTTCTTTGGCAATTTCCAAGCATTTTTCATAGTATTCCATTGCCTTTTGAATCTGATTGTTCAATTTATAAGCT